ACAGAATTTCGAGTCTGAAATTCTCATCATGAATAACCAGAAAAAGCTGATTGTTTAACATTCTCTATGTTCTGCTTCATCTCCGCATGGCATGTGTACACCATATTTGTCTCTTGGAGCGTAAAATGTTGCGACATCCTTCTATGTCCAGCTTATCAGTGATGAGCTAAACCCAGCTTGACTTACTTATCTACATTGCAATATTTGAAGTGACCTTCTAATAGATCGGCTTGTTCAGGGGGGACATTTTATATTGATACGCTATTTTCAAGGAGTCATCGTGAGATATTCACACTTGCTGTGTGACAAGCATGTCAGAACAGAATATAGCGAGAATTGTGACGAGGATTCCTGCAACCGAAATTGGTTTAGAGCGACACCCGCGACTGAAATCTTATTGCTCCCGGAAGTACAACATGTATTGCATTTGATACGAACGCCGTACGTACCAAATGATGCGTATCACAATTATGACCATAAAGAAGAATAACATCATAAGCGCTTTTCTTTCATATGAAGCATAAGGCAAATTCAGTGAGAGAAAGTTAGCTAGGCATCACTTAGCGTAGTGACGAGTAGTTAAAATATGCATGCTTATGATAAGCGAAATGCAGCCATCATAACAAGACAACGCTAATACCTAGAAAAATATACAGCAGAACGGCCTGGTCGGCTTCATCTTGTTTACCGACCTCTCACGGGTCGATAAGCGCTCCAACTAATCACACTGTCAATCACGCCTCATACTGCATCCAATACTTCGGGCGGGATGCACGGAGTGATAGTTATGCCACAGGATAAAGCTACTTCAACTGCGATGTTAGTAGCTGGGTGACACAGATATTCAGTCCGCATCGTACATACTCATAGATCTAATTCGACGATGTCTTGGCTTACGGTCGCGCAGGGCACGGAGGATTGGACATAAAATCCAATTTGAGCTTTTGCGACCTGTGTTTGAGTGTATGTGCTAAGAAAATGTTGGCTGATGTGAACAACTATGACTTCGACGCTGGAAAGGCCCCAGTATCTGATGTTTCATTGATTTTTTTATACGTTTTGGGAGCTCTTCCGTCCAATCCCGTAGCAGATGAGCCAATTTCGATATTCCAACAAAATTTACGAAAGTGACTTATACTGACCAGTCCACAAGTTTAGGGCAAATTATGCTGGCTTTATTCAATATCATAAACCGGAACTTAAATAGTATTGTCGCAACATGAAATGGTGGCATTTCAGGCTGCTAGAGCAAAATTCTAGGCGTGTGGTCCTCTTCTGACCTATTGGGTCCAGAAAAGTCACTTCATGTTGTATTTAAAGCATACATCTAGCTGATATATTTGGTCAATTTGTATATATCCAGAGTAAAGATGCACCTAATTCATGACAGGGCTGCTATGACGTATGCGCTACGCAATTTTAGGGTTCTTCTGGTTGGAGCCACTTTTAACATAGGTATCCTGCCCACAATACGCACAGCGATATCGTCTTCACACCTCCCGCCGAGAATGTCATGTTGTTATCTACTTTTTCAAGTATCAATGAGGTGAAATATCAAGCTGGATAAATATAATGCGGTTACGCGCTTTCATCTCGCGTCGACTGTAAATTGTGCCAATTCGCAAAATGGTGGCGATGAGTATTCATGAAACGATACGTACGGTACGGAATAGATACGGAATATGATGCACCGTTCATTGCTTCAACGGCAACACTTTGATTAAGGTCGTAAATTCTGAGCGTTTAAAGTACTATTACATCTCTATTCTTAGTCCAGACGCTTGTCGAATCAAAGCACGGACCCGCTAGTCACACAGCTATTTTTTTGAGATTTCAGACCCGAAATTCTTCATAAGGACCTTTATATCTCTAAAAGGGGTTTGAGAGAAGACGCACGGATCAAAACTGC